GGGTGGGCTGGAGGTCGGGAAGTGCATTCCGGGTGGGCTGGAGTTCGGGAAGCACATTCGGGGGGTGGGCTGGGGGTGGGGAAGCACATTCGGGGGGTGGGCTGGAGGTCGGGAAGTGCAGTCCGGGTGGGCTGGAGGTCGGGAAGTGCAGTCCAGGTGGGCTGGGGGTGGGGAAGCGAGTCCGGGTGGGCGGGAGGTCGGGAGCTCTGCCTCGCAGTCATCGGGAGCCCAGGCTTCTTCACTGTTGTGGCTCCGCTGCCTCTAGGGTCCTTGGAGTCCCCTGAGGCACACAGTAGAGCCGGGAGGGTCTTGTGGGAGACCCTTCCCATAGGACCACCCAGCCAGTGGCCAGAATTCCACTCATGGCCTCTGCTAACTGCAGGGGTTACTGGGAAATATAGTTTCGCTGTGGAGCCAGAGGGGACTGGACATTGGTGACAGTTCAGCCTTCCTGCCAGGGCTTTGGCTTCTGTGATCCCTAAGGGCCCTTCCAGCTCATGCATTCTGGAATGTCCACTGGCCCCTGGCCACAGGCACCTATTGTCCTTCGGCCTAGTTCTCTGTCATCCTGGGTTCCGTGGACTTGCCAGCCGCTTTCTCTGTGGCTTGGTGAGAGGAGAGGCTTGCCTTGATGGGGCCTGGACTGAGTCACTGAGGTCAGAGCTACACCTGCATTTAGAAATCCTCCCATTCACTAGAGCTCCTTAGCATTTTATTTTATTTTATTTTTTATTTTATTTTATTTTATTTTTTTATTTTATTTTATTTTAGGGGGTATGGGGGCTATTGATCTAATTTGAGAATCTGACCAAAGCTGTGGACTCTTCAGAAAAATGCAGGTATACACAGTTTCACACACCAGCCTGGAATTCCCATCATAGACCCCCCCGCCCCCTGCCACCCAGGAGTGATTCTTAACCTTCACCATGCATTGCTATTTCCTTGGGGCGCTTATTAAAATGCCCCTTCCCGGGCCCACCTCCAGGCTGCCAATCCAGTGGTTGTGCCCAGGAATCTGCATTTTGAGAAGCCCCCTGAAATGGACAGAAAAGAAAGGCAGGGGGCCTCAGGTTGGTGCCCGGCTGCACACCTGGGTGGGTCTGTGCGGGACAGCCCCCGTGCCGGCCCCCGCAGGGCCCAGCAGAGCCGAGCTGGCGTGAGCTTTGTCCTGTTCTCTCCCATTCTCTTTTCCCTGTAGGAGGAGGACTGGCAGGAGCCCAAGCCAAACACTTAAGACTCATTAGTGGGACAAATGGAGCCTGGGCTGTCCCAGTGCCTGGGCTCCGCTGGGAGGGAGAAGAGATGGGCCCGCTCCCAGGGAAGCGAAGCCAGATCTGGTGTGTGGGTGTGGGTGTTCCACACTTGTCCGCTGTCTGGGGAACGGTTCAGGGCGTTTGTTGGGAGTCCAGGGGAGAGGGCAGCCCACGTGAGCTTTGGCCATAAAGGCAGGTGTCTGACAAACACCACAGCTGGGGTGGTAACATTCTTGTGCTGCCATTTCTCAGACCGCGCCTCGGTTCCTTGGGAGTGGCTTCAGGGGGGCAAGGTCTTGGTCCTTTGAGCTTGGGTTTGGGTTTTGGAAGCCGCTGAAAGTCACTTGGATGCTTGTATCGGGGATACTTTGGGCAGTCAAGAGAGCTGATCAATTTTGGCCAAAGTTGTCTCTGAAGGCATTTTCTGAAGGGTTGAATACTCTCTGGAAGAGTTACTAGAATCCTCGTACAGCCTTCCAGGCTGAAGGCAACAGCTCAATGTGTTTACAAAGGAATCAAACCTTTTTCAACCCTTTTCCTACATATTAGAAAGCTGAGCTGTCCCTCTCAGAGAACCTTGTCTCAATCCCATTACAATTAGAAATGTCTCAACACCGTCTCTCCCCTTTTCCTTGGTTCTGGGGCCGTCACCAAGAGCCCATCCGGATGGATGGATGGAATTAGGTACCAGATGATGGAGGAAGGCTTTGGGGACCGAACAGGAGCTGATCCCAGGAAGGCGTCCCACACTTCCGTATGATCCAGGAGCTGGAATTGGCGGTCAGGATGGGGCTGAGCCTGAGAACAAGCTGGCCTTTGCCCAGGGCACCTTTGGGATCTGGGTAGTAGTGATGGGTATTGGGGGGTGGTCTTCTGAAGCGTTGCTTCCCACTTGGCTCTTCCTCCTTCCAAATGGGGTCCAGCCCTCTGCCCTGGTCACTGCCTGTCCTAAGAGGGTTGGACACAGGCCAGTTCTGATGGAGCAGTAACTCCCCGGCCGATGGCTCAGAGCAGGCTGAGGCTGGTGGGCACGATTTCCTGGGGGCTGATTTGCCCAGAAGCACAGGCTCACCTGGGACAAGCCCTTTGGCCTCTGCAGCCGCAGCTCTGGCTCCCTCCCTTCCTCTGCCAGCAAGTGCTGATTGATCACAGTCAGGAAAAGTGCTGGCAGGCTTCAGAGCACACCACCCCACCCTGGGGAGAGCGCCAGGCCCTCGCGGCTGGGGCCTCCTGGGCACAGAATGATAAAGTGGGTTTTAATCGTGGCCCAAGAAACGGCTGCCCAAGAAACGGCTCTAATTATACGTTTATTTATATAGCACTCTGTCTCCAAAGGGCCAAACACCCATTCGTTCATTTTTATTTATCTGTTTAAAATTTTTATTTTAATTTTTAAGAACTTTTCAGTGAACTTTTCACTTTAGAGTAGTTTTAGTTTTACAGAAAAGTTGTCAAGATAGTACAGGGAGTTCCCATACCCCCCCACACCCAGCTTCTTCTCACGGTAAGATCTTACAGTATATGGTGCATTTGTCACAAAGATTGAATCAATATTGATACATTACTATTATTGCTATTATTATTATTATTAATTAATTAAAGTGTGTGTCTCTTTTCATACACTGTGCCAGGTCTTTGCAGACCACTTTCATTTTGGGAATTCACGCCCTTCGTTTCTGGGAAATTTTGTTGAATTATTGATAACATCCTCCCTTTTATTTTCTCTCTTTTCTTTTTATGGAATACTCTTATTTGGGTATTAGACTTTCTGAAAGGACTCCATACTTTATTCAGATTTTCTGAGTTTTTGTCTAATACTCTATTTATTATTATTATTAATGTTTATCTATTTTTGAGCAGAGACAGAGCATGAGTAGGGGAGGGAGACACAGAATCCGAAGCAGGCTCCAGGCTCTGAGCTTCAGAGCCCGATGTGGGACTTGAACTCACAAACTGTGAGATCATGACCTGAGCCAAAGTCATATGCTTAACCAACTGAGCCACCCAAGCGCCCGCCTTTCTTTCTTTCCTTCTTTCTTTCTTTCTCTCTCTCTCTTTCCTTTCCTTTCCTTTCCTTTCCTTTCCTTTCCTTTCCTTTCCTTTCCTTTCCTTTCCTTTCCTTTCCTTTCCTCTTCTCTTCTCTTCTCTTCTCTTCTCTTCTCTTCTCTTCTCTTCTCTTCTCTTCTCTTCTCTTCTCTTTTCTTTTCCTCCCCTCCACCTTTTTTCTAACTTTATTTGTTGTGAGAGAGAGCAAGCGAGAGCAGAGGTGGGGCAGAGAGACAGAGGAAGAGAGAATCCCGAGCAGGCTCTGCACTGCTTGGCCTTGAGCCCACAAACCATGAGACCGTGACCTGAACCCAAATCAAGAGTCAGACACCTAATGGACTGCGCCACTCAGGCTCCCCTGCCTAATACTCTTCCTTTCTGTTCCAGGCTTCCATCAAGATACCACACTGCAGTGAGTTGTTAGGTGTCCTTATGTTCCTTCAGCAGTAACAGTTTCTCAGACTTTCCTTCTTTTTGAGGACTTTGGCCATTTTGAAGAATATTGGTTAGCTGTCCTGTAGAATGTCAATCAGGATGTGTGTGATGTTTTTCTCATGATTAGACTGAGGTTATGGTTTTTGGAGAAGACTACAGAGGTAAAGTACCATTCTCATCATGTTATACCAAGAATACATGCATATTATCAACATGACATCACTTTTGATGTTAATCTTGATCACCTGGTAGTGTCAGTTGGCTTTCTCCCATACAAAGTTACTCTTTTTTCCTATGAGCAGCCCACACTTAAGGGGTAGGGAGTTATTTTCCACCTCTTCGTGGATATTTATTTTATACTTTGGATTATAATTCAACATATTTATTTTATTGTGCGAATTATCCTAGCTTTGGCCATTGGGAGATCTTTTAGTCGGCCCCTTTTAATTTTTTTTTTTTTAAATGTTTACTCATTTTGAGAGAGAGAAAGAGAAAGAGTGTAAACAGGAGAAGGGCAGAAAGAAAGGAAGAGAGAGAGAATCCCAAGCTATCTGCACAGAGTCTGATACGGGGCTTGATCTCATGAACCATGAGATCA